ATAAGAAAATAAATAATTAACTGGCAATTCATCAGTCAACTGTACGTTCTGCATCTTATCAAACTTCTACGGTACTGTTCTTCAAAAATGTCCAATATATCACTATGGTTGCAGAATACTATTAAATAATAATAATAATTTATCTAAACAAAAGAAAAATATATAAATATTACCACCAATTTCTTCGACTATCCCTAATCAACAAATTTTTCTCTGAACTACGATTAACGAGCTTTGATTGTACGGACTTTATGCAGGGGGATTAACTCCTCTTCAGACAATACAAAGGCGTTAATCCCATGATACAAGATTGGTCATGGACAAACCGGACAGAAGTGAACCACAATGGCTACCTTATTAATGATCAGTAAGTTGGCACACACTACAAAACTTTATATTTATATTAGCTACTGTAGTAAGGTGAGTATCTGATGTACTGTAGACCATGTGACCTATCAGGAAGAGATTCATAAACTATTTACACTCAAAAATTGGTCCTACAAATCCAGCATTCCAGAAACAGATTAACTGTGACATACATTCTGACATAATCAAGATACGAAGACATGGTCTCTTGTTTCATATAAAATGTGTGATTGCTCAGAATTGTACAACATAAAAATTGTACATCTTCTTGAATATGTACATACAAGTGAAGTACTGTACTCATTAACTCTTTTCTCATTAACATGTTGGGTTTAATTTAATAGTAAATTATTTATTACACCATACTGTTGTCCTTGGTTAAAATTTTGTGCTAAATTCAGTATTATTATTCATTTCCTTATAAAGATAAATACGTGGTAATGGCAAGTGTAGAAACAGCAAAAATATTCTAGTAAATTATGAGGTGGGTGTCTATGATCAACTCAAGATACCTATTTAGTTTTCCATTATAAAGCAACTTAGCTGTGCTCTCTTAACTATACCTCATAAATCTGCTATAACTGTGAGAAGTATTTGCTGTACGGAAGTTGCCTGTTAGTGCGATAAGAGATGGTGATCAACTGAGTTATCGGTTTAACTTACTATATACTGTACTGTATTTCCATTCAAACAATAATCTATCGCACTGATCTATGGAACATATTAACGTACGAGAGAGAGAGAGAGAGATTCAGACAACTGGAAATGAATGTGGCAACAAATTGAACGAAAACTGATGAATTGGTCAATAAAATAGTGAAAGGAAATAAAGTAATAGGCAAAGATGGGAATGTCCTGAAAACTAGAGTAAGATAATAGTATTACAAGGGTGTGAAATATGGAGCAAATTAGGAATAACAAATGATTTGTCTGAGAGCTATATGTAAAGTAAATCTGCATTGCCAATGTTTATAAAATATTACCAACTATTACTTTAACAAAATACCATACCACCAAATAAACACCAAATATATTAAATACAGCATACTGAAGTTACAATAAAACGATGAGCTTTATTTTTTTTTTGGGGGAGAATTGGATAGACAGATAAAGAAATGTGATATTTCTGGCAGCTCTGATTACCCACAGGATGTAGAGAATAAGAAATACTGTAATGAGGAGGAAATGTAGATGTGAGAGGCATGTTGGGCATTAAGATAAACAAACTACTTAAGTAACGAAGTGTAAGAGGATGCACCTGGGGCGTACCAACATTAAGGAGGCATATCATATGTCCCAACGGAATGAAGAAACTGCACTATTTGAGACTGAATGTGAGAAGGACTTAGGTGTGTATGTTGACAATGAGCTGAAGTTCTCGGGTCATTGCGAGAAGAAAGTAAATCAGGCAAATAAATTACTAGGTCTTATAAGAAGGTCGTTCAGATATCTAGAGTGAAGTGCTTCCCCATCTGGAGTACTGTCACCCCGTCGGATCCCCGAGATATACTATGGACTATCAGTTGATTGAAAATGTTCAAAGAAGGGCCACCAGACTGGTGCCTGCACTTCGGCACCTCAACTACCCTGAGAGATTGGAGCTTATACTACAGACGGGCAAGGGGCGACCTAATTGAGGTGTACTGTATAAGCATCTCAAGGGGCACTACTCAGTCAAGTGTCCTTAACTGGAGCTGGTGGACGCTCACCCCACAAGGGGTCACAGTTCAAGGTTGAAGAAGCCACAGGTCCAGAAAACTGCGAGGGCAAACTTTTTCGGAGTGAGAGTTGTGAAGTCTTGGAACAATCTGCCAGAAAGTGTTGTGATGGCACTGAGTGTGAGCTCTATCAAGACAAGACTTGACCAATACTGGAGCAGGTTCAGGCACATTCGGGAGCCGGTGCATGACCGGTACTTGCCAGCAGTGCGTAACAGAGATGTGACCGATCGCCCAAGCGGCTAACAAGCCGATCAGTGGTAAAGAGGATAAAAGTAAAAGTATTACTAACATAATAGTTGAATGAAAAGTGAAGTATTAGTAAAAAAAAAAAGTACTGTACTGGTTATTATAATTCAGAGGTGGATGATATGAGGGAGAAAGAGTAAGACCAAAAAGGAGATGGAACGACATTAGAGTTGGGAGAGGAGGAGGAGGATGGACAATTGGCCACACACAGACATCGAGTGATTGTTATGGAAGGCCGTGATGTTAATGGGTGATGCTGGTTTGTTTGTGTCAAGTAACTGTACAGAGAGTAAACTTAAAGTCTCATTATGGAAGGAAAAATCATAATAGAATAGATTTCTCACAGTAATAAGAATCGATGAATGATAACGATTGGAGGAAAAATGTGCGTGGGGGGGGGGGGTCTAAGAGTATAAGTAGTAGTTAAGTTATGAGGGTCAGAGGTCGTCGAGGTCTTATAAGAGGGCCAGGGAGTCTTCTCAATCACACTAGAATGAGGATGGTGATGACTTTTTTAATCATCCACACAAGAAAAAAATGCTGACACCAGTTTCATTGGTAATACGCACGCACGCACGCACACACACAAACATTTCTTTTAAGGTACAGTAAATACTAATCAGTGATGTGTTACTATAATCTGAAAGTTTGCTAATAATTTGCTTTATGTCATAGGCTCTTCAATTTTATACATTAAGTGAAAACATTTTTCCTCAGAGACAACTGATATGCTTCAGTTTCTTGAGTAAAAGATAAATATACAGCAGTGTAGGTAAACTGCATAAATGTATCCTTTCATATATTTGTATTAATTCATCTAGTCTTCTATTAAAACATAGAAAAATAGAAACATAACGGTATTCATCAGGTGATACCAAACTCTTGTCCACAGTCATTATAATGTGAACTTTTCATTGTCAGATAAATACGTGTCCCTCCCGGCTAAAAATATGTACAGTCCTGAACTTATGTCTTTGCAAATTGGGTAAGGACAACTATTCATCGTCAGCTGTGTTAAGGAAAACATCGTTAAGATTTGTTTATTTCAACTAATCTTCTACCAATAATAACAGGCAAAAGGTGCACTCATATAAAGAAAGATGCCCACAGCGAGATACAAGAATAAACCATATTGTCGTCACAAGTGGTAAAGTGGATGGGATTATCAGCACAACAGCTGTATGGATGGCTGGACAAGTCTGAAAATTTTGTGATTAAAAAAATAAATAAATGATCAAAATGAAAATGTCGAGGCAGTAACATGTAAACTTAAGCATCATAACCGCATTTAAAATACAATAGATCACGACCATTCCATCTATGTAATTATCTTGTCGTATCTTTTATCATTAAAGCTGGTTTCACATTGAGCTGTCACAACATGATACGACTGTCTGGCCATGACATGGAAAAAACTTCGTGTCTGGTGGTTGAATTCACGCTGGTGTGACCAGACATCACAAATCATGGCTGTCATTATATTCATTTCAAAAAAGCAATGCAAGAAGATATATATTTATTCTATTGTATCTCAGTTAGCCCCATGGTAAATGTACTTATATATACCACCTTGCTACTGTATACTGTTAATAAAACATATACGTACATGTATTATACTTACTAGTGATACTCAGATCATTTGAAATTTCCTCCCAAACCTTATCCACACTCCCTCTATTGCTTTGATCCTTCACAGTGAAGTCACAAATTGCCCTCCTCTCTTGCACGAGTGAGATCAACCTCTCTTCATTACACTCAGCCATCTTCACCTTTTGGAATATAGATTTTGACTGAACCCCAGAAAAGTACAGCCAGACAGCACCAGACATGACCATTGTTTTTGTCGCGTCGTGTTGTGTCCGGTCAGTGTGAGACAGCCATTACACCTCTAAGTCTATTTCACTACAGACTTCTCAATAGTCTTCACAATAATAGCTTCCTAAATTACAATAAATATCTAAAATTCTTAAAATTCTTCTCTGTGTTTGTAAACATTGTTTTTCACAGGTATTGTAGAGGAAGATAAATAATGTCCCCGACAGCCAAGGAATTTGTTACATGATATATGAACACAATCTAATATTTTGCTTAATTATGAAATGAGACTAAAATATAACATGGACCAGACAGGTTAATTAGATATTCGTTTTCAGTATTATAAATATATCAAGAACTATTTCAGTATTACCAAATTATACTGAAGGAAACTGTGACAAAGTATACTGTAATTTATATAATTTCAAAATTCTCTCAGTACTGAATAATTTGTCTCTTATAAAAAATTAATCTTGTACAAATGTGAAAGGAATGAACTTTGAATAAAAAAAAATATGACTATGCATTTCGAACATTTATCACATCTCGTAATTATACCCAAATCCTTGAATATATGGACTATTTAACTTATTACATTCACTTCAATAATTTAATACAGTCTTCTTATATTCCAGATCTCTGATAATATAATACTGCTCTTTACTTAATTGAAATATATATTCTAAAATTTATAAATACACGTATACATAAAAAACTAATGTCATACTAATTGTACTTGATAGTCAAATGGTAAGATATTTAAATGACAACAAAAGATTATTGTATTCTGATTCAATACCATTTTTAGTATAAAGGAATCCAGAGAAGCTAGATACCTATATCAAGAGTTGTGTACAGTGTTGACTTCATATAAACAAGAGCTTAAACCATCAAGTCTTCCAGCTGACTTACAGGTCCTGGGGTGAAGTGACCATCAACAACATTCCCAAATAAAAAATAAATAAATAGAATAAAAAAGATTCATGGCACTTGTGATAGTATTTACTTATGGTTTTTGCTATTGACTAACCATATACTGTATATATCTGTTACCAAGTACTGAAGGGAAGAATATGCTGAGAAGAATATACTGATGGGGATATACTGAGGGGAAGAATATACTGGGAAGAATATACCGATAGGAAGAATACATTGAGGGGAAGAATATATTGAGGGGAAGAATATACTGAGGAGAAGAATATACTGATAGGAAGAATATACTGAGGAGAAGAATATACTGATAGGAAGAATATGTTGAGGGGAAGACTATACTGAAGGGAAGAATATACAGTGCTGAGGAGAAAAATATACTGATGGGAAGAATATACTAAGGAGAAGAATGCACTAAAGGGGGAGAATATACTGAAAGGAAGAATATACTGAAAGGAAGAATACACTGATAGGAAGAATATATTGAAGAGAAGAATATACTGAGGAGGAGAATATATTGAGGGGAAGAATATATTGAGGGGAAGAATATACTGGGGGAAAGAATATACTAATGGAAAGAATATACTGAGGAGAAGAATGCACTAAAGGAGAAGATTATACTGAAAGGAAAAATACACTGAAGAGAAGAATATACCGAGAAGAATATACTGAGGGGAAGAATATACTGAGGGGAAGAATATACTGAAAGGAAGAATATACTGAAGGGAATACGGAAGGGAAGAATATACTGAAAGGAAGAATATACTGAAGGGAAGAATATACTGAAGGGGAGAATATACTGAAAGGAAGAATATATTGAAGGGAAGAATATACTGAAGGGAAGAATATACTGAAGGGAAGAATATACTGAAAGGAAGAATATACTGAAGGGAAGAATATACTGAAGGGAAGAATATACTGAAAGGAAGAATATACAAGTACTGAAGGGAAGAATATACACGGACAGGACATTTATTATCAGTTTCATCACCTCAAAAGTTGTCCCCTGAGGCTCCTCGAATTATATCTGTTTGCATTTAATATAAAAATCTTCCTCTTTGAAATAACTATCAAACAATGTTGACTTGAATCTGAAAAATCAATCAATATCCAGGTTTTGCACAATTGGCTAATGTATGCATGACATGTCTGACATATGCATGACTGGCTGGCTTACACCTGACTTGTCTGATGTATGCATGACAGCCGATATAACGAATGATTCTGGTGGATACATTTCTAAGTGGACTTTTTCACTCAGCTTTGATTTGGAGTTATCTCAGGTATTTTTGAGTTGTTAATTAATGCACCAGTTTAGTATTTAATGATGGCTAGTACATGCAGCACTCGCTCATAAAAAAAATATATTAACGCTACATTTTAGTTTTATGCTATACTTTTTCTTATTGAGGAATGATATGCATTGAAGAACTGTCTTAAATCTTTCGTATTAACTCTTCTTACTCACTTTCATTGTATAGGGTTGAGAGAATACAGTGTACTTGTAAATGTAACTTAACATTCGCAGGATGTCAACAACACGTATAGCCTACCCCACAAAATTTCTGTGTCACATAATTGAGATGTCCTTTTGGGTATATAGTAAGTCATGAGGCTATTATCTATGTTCTTATTTATTTATTAACTACCCGGTAATTGACTTATCTACAAAGTCATTTATATTTTGTATTACTTTGTGTCTGTTTAGAGGTGACAGTTCAATGGGTTAAATGAAGACAAAAAGTCATATCATTTGGTCCATTTGGCCACGGGAACATTGATGGTCATGTTCAACAGTATACTTGGGCCTCACTGAAGTACCATAAATCTTTCTGTAAGTGATAAATATATTTCTTGTTCGACTATGATGCATAAGCTCAAGCTACCAAACCCTGCTTTAAATTTTCATGAAACTGCAATGATAAGTTTAGGTAATCCTATGATAATTAAAATTGACCTCTGTACTTAAAACTCAGATACTGAACTCTCACTGGTCACTAATTCTTATAAACAGTTACTCAACAACTCACATTCCAAGTGAAAGACTATAACAATTACTTACATAATCACTGATGTCCTGAATAGATTTTATTCAATATGTTCTAACTTAACCAACAATCATAATATTGATTCCTTGAAGCATAGGAGCCACTTTAGAAATAATAAAATATTAATACAGAATCACAACAAAGCATTCAAAAAATACACTACAGCAATTTCTTCGTCAAATGATGAAGTGGGAACAATCAATCTTACAGCATCTAACTTAAGACAGAACCCCGGCGTCTGACGTCCATGTAACACACACTCTCTAGAGGATGAAGTCCGAGTCATCTACACAGTGAAACTTGTCTTCCAGGCGAGAAATAAACCAACTGAATAAGGTAATCTAGACAGACTAGGTCTTTAATACAGGAGGAGACGATGGACTGGCAGTACTATACGTGGTCGTCTGAATTTCGTATTTCTGGCAGCTGAGTCTTCTGGGCCAAGGCGTTGCAAACAAACAACATCTGATCCAACTTTTTGTCTAGGAGCACCAGCTGTAGGGAGAAGGTTTAGATAGTGACAAAAACACTGACTGACATTATAATTCTTTTAAAAATGATTAATACATGACATTAAACATATATGAGTACCAACTGAGAGTATAAGTAGTAATGGGACACATACTAAGATGATAAATATTATTGAAACATAAAGTAGCAGGCACACAGGTAGATACACCAGGTAAGAATACAAAAGGGATACAGTCCTAAAATTAAAATTGAATTCCTCATTCAATACACACCTGTTGAATAAAAGTTTTAAGGTACTGTATGTCTGTAATTTTAAAAAAAAAATCGAATCTGAATCAAAATGACAAATGCCCCATGATGAACAATAATATTTTTTTCATCAAGAAGATTTTCTCACCCAGTCAAATCGGAGTTTAAAAAGTTGGTCCCACTGGATTCAGTGTCACAAGAACCAGTGAGTCTTCGAATCGGAGTTTGAAACCTACAGCAACTAGCGGACCTAGTGTTAGGAGAGAGGAGGAACAACGGGAACGTTTCTAGCGCAGGAACAATGTAATAGTTTTTGGAGTCCCTGAGAGCCAGGTGGAGGGAACTGAGAGTAGGATAACACATGATAAGATGCAGTTTAAGAATATTTGTACAGAGGTTCTGAATATGTCATCCCCCATCAGGATGTGAGGAGGCTGGGACAAAAGCAGGGGGACAAGCCTCGCCTCCTCAGGATCACACTAGTGAGTAAGGAGAAGAAATGGGAGGTTATTCAGCAGGTAAAAACCTCAGCAAGGAGTGAGGCATCTCGGGGTGTATTCATTCACCCAGATCGCACGGTAATGCAGAGGGAACAGCACAAGAAGCTCCTGCAAGGCTTGAAGCAGAAGGAGGAGGAGTCGAGGAGGAATGGGGACGGGTGTACTACAGTACATGGGTTATATTCAGGGGGAGGGTAGTGAAAGCAAGTGTGGCGACACAGAGCCAGGGGGCAGCAGCGCACCCTCCACCCGCTCTACCCCCCACCCGGGAGGAGGCACCAGCTCCGCCTACCAGACAGGAGGAGGCAAGCGCCGTGTAAACAATGACATTTCTAACCACACCCTGCAAAATACAGTGTACTTAGCAAATGCTGCAGCTTCTGAGAATGGAGGGGGCCGGAGTTACTACTCAGAGCAGAGACGTTACCACAAGAACAAATTCTGGCTTGAATGTCATGTACACTAATACTGACACGTTCCTTGATAAGAAAGAGGAGTTTGAAACACTACTGAAGGTACACCAACCCGATATTGTAGAAGTTGTAGAGCTGTTGTACAAGAACAGGAGAATCGACCCTGAGGATTGTGAGTTCAGTATTGCTGGATATGACTCATTTACTAACTTTTCTCAAGAAACTTGCAAGAGGGGTGTGGTAATCTATGCTAGGTAAGACCTCAGAGCCAGCCAGGCGAGGGTACAGGGAGAGGATGTTTTTGAAGAGTCCAAGTGGTGTAAAATTAAATTAAAGGGAGGGACTTACTTATTGTCGGGTATATCTATACACTGTTAGAAAATTCAGTATTTTTTACATGTTTCTTCTGTATTTCCGACCAGGAAAACGTAGTAATTTGAATTACTTTTTTGTTCTGTAAAATATTTCAGACACTCTCTTTCTCTGTTTCAATTTGTTTAATTATCAATATACTGTAAACTGACATTTTATCATACTATATACTGTACACTTCATGATGCAAAGAGCATTTAAAATGTCATGTTAATGCTGTTATTTCTGTATGTAATTACTGAATATGCGGTTGACGGTTGTTTGTGCTTCACGTTCGTCGTATGTCCGTGTTTGTTTACATTAAATCAGAGCGCCACATCATCACACAGGGGGGGGGGAGGGGGGACGCTGGTGGAGTGGTACCACTCGTGCCTCGCAAGCTAGCTGTCACGGGTTCGATTCCCGGGCCGGCGGAAGTTGTTTGGACACTCTTCCTAGTCCCCTTGGTCCTTATTCACCTAGCAGCAAAGTAGGTACCTGCTGTAAATCGAAAGTTGCGAATTTGTATTCAGGGACAAGTTGTTGGAGCTTCCAATAACTTCCAACAATCTGTTAATTCAACAGATATTTTATGTAAAAATATATACAGAATCTCTGTAAATTATACAGAGAATGTTTGGCAACAATATAACCAGTGAATTTTATGTAAATTTTACAAGATTTTTTTAACAGTGAGATCCCCAAACTGTGGCCCACTAAATCAATTTAACTTAAGAGCCTTAATAGACAACGCAGCAATGCTCAACCCTAGCCACCTCCTTATTATGGGGGACTTTAACTATGGCGACATCGACTGGAGAAAAGAGTTCACCCCAGATGACTTGAATAACCATGATACTCTTTTTGTAGAAACTCTAAGAGATAATTTTTTCTGTTCCAACATGTTAAAGACCCGACGCATTACAGAGGGGAGCAAACACCCAAGCCACTAGACCCTCATAACAAACGAGGAGGGTATGGTGGCCAAACTGGAACACCTTGCCCCGGTTGGCACCAGTAGTGCTGTCATTCAAGGTGAAAATATTTCAAGGGAAATTACGACGGGATGATGGAAGAGATGAGGGGTATCCACGGGCCTGACTCACTAAGGCCCAAGAATGCAGACACTGCTGAATATCATAACTAGTAAAGTGACCCATTTGATCAATAAATATATACCCAAGACCAAACCCAGTGCCTCTACGAAAACGAGGGGACCCCTACACATAAATCATGCGGCGGTCGACAAAATTAAGAAGAAAACCCAGAAATTCAAAGACGTGGGTTGGGTCAAACGATGCGCAAGACAGGAGATGTATGCAAGAGCCAGAAACAAAGCAAAGGCAGAGTTTAGAAGAGCTGAAATGGAGTTCCAAAGGCTGGTTGCAAGCGAGGTCAAGTCAAACCCAAAGGCGTTTTACTGCTATGCAAAGTCGAAATTAAAAACACGAGTAGGAGTATCAGACCTGAGGCTTGAAGATGGTAGTTAAGCAGATTCTGACCAGGATAAAGCCGAGGCATTGAACAGTTTCTTTTCCTCGAGGTTCACAAGAGAGGATGAGATTAACCTTCCTGCGTTTGAGGACAGACGGTTCGACACAGCACTAACCCACATTGCGTTCACAGAAAAGGATAAAAGAAATAAATTGTCAAAGCTGAAGGTCCATAAGAGTCCCGGCCCTGACATGGTGCATCCCAGAGTGCGAAGAGAGTTCAGGGGCTCGGCAAGCTCGAGCCCCTGAAGATCCTGTTCTGTAAATGCCTGGATGAACAAAAGGTCCCAGTGATTGGAAAATAGCTTATGTGAGTCCTATCTTCAAGAAAGGCGATCGTCACTCCACGAACAACTATAGACCGGTAAGCCTGACCAGCATAGTATGAAAAGTACTTGAGAGCATTATCAGAGATGCCGCGATGGAACATCTACTACGAAACAACCTTTTAAAGGATTGCCATCACGATTTTATGCCGGGGCGCTCCTGCTTAACACAATTGTTCAAGGTATTGGATATTTGGACCCATATTCTGGAACGAGGTGATAATATCGACAATAAATACCTAGATTTTGCCAAGGCTTTCGACAGTGTACCCCCATGAAAGGCTGAAAATCAAACTGGAAGAGTACGGAATTCGGGGAAAAGTCCTAACGTGGATAGAAGATTTTCTACATGACCGCAAGCAGGGTGTGGTGGTTAATGGCACAAAATCATCATCTGTACCTGTCACAAGCAGGATACCACAGGGCAGTGTAATGGTTCCGCTGTTGTTTGTTTGCTTCATAAATGACATGCCTGACGCTTTTACACTCCTCCATACAAATGTTTGAGGATGACGCCAAGTTATTTCGGGAAATCAAGAACCAAGCGGACTGTGAAGAGCTGCTGAAGGATCTCTGTGAGCTGCAAGAATGGTCGAAGAAATGGCTGCTGAGATTCAATGTCACGAAGTGTAAGAGGATGAACCTGGGGCGCACCAACGGTAAGGAGGCTTATCATATGTCCCAATGGGATGAAGAAACTGCACTATTTGAGACTGAATGTGAGAAGGACCTAGGTGTGTATGTTGACAATGAGCTGAAGTTCTTGGGCCATTGCGAGGAGAAGGTAAATCAGGCAAATAAATTATTGGCTCTTATAAGAAGGTCGTTCAGATATCTAGAAGGTCCGTCCCTCATAACGATCTTCAAGAGTGAAGTGCTTCCCCATCTGGAGTACTGCCACCCCTTCTGGTCCCCGAGATATACTATGGACTGTCAGTTGATTGAAAATGTTCAAAGGAGGGCCACCAGACTGGTGCCTGCACTTCGGCACCTCAACTACTCTGAGAGATTGGAGCGCCCAAACTTGCCTAGCTTATACTACAGTACAGATGGGCAAGGGGACGACGTAATTGAGGTGTACTATATAAGCATCTCAAAGGGCACTACTCAGTCAAGTGTCCTTACCTGGAGCTGGCAGACTCTCGTCCCACAAGGGGTCACAGCTCAAGGTTGAAGAAGCCGCAGGTCCAGAAAACTGTGAGGGCAAACTTTTTCGGAATGAGAGTTGTGAACTCTTGGGACAATCTGCCAGAAAGTGTCGTGAGCTCTTTCAAGACCAGACTTGACCAACACTGGAGCAGGTTCAGGTATATTCAGGAGCCGGTGCATGCCCAGTATACTTGGCAACAGTGAGTAACAGAGACGTGACCGATCACCCAAGCGGCTAACGAGCCAATCAGTGGTGAAGAGGATAAAAGTAAAAGTACCCACATTACTTAAGCTATCTTTCAGTTCTTAATGACTAATAATCCCAGATAAGCTCTATCATTGGAAGAAAATATCCAATAAGAGGTTGTAAACACAACACATTTAATCTCTTACAGTCTAAGTTTATACACTCTTGAACTGGTCTGGTATGAACTGAAACGAAACATATGCTTCACTTAGGGCCGGAGACAGTCCAGGTGCCAATTATATTCCCTTGTTGATGCCTGTGAAGATAGTGACATTATTACTGTTTAGCTATGACCACGAGGAACTGGACTCAGTTCAGTGTCAGGAGAATGAGTTTCCTATTATGGTCAAAGTCTGTTTTAATCGCATGAGTTTACTAGAGGATTTGACCCCTGACATGAAGCCTCACTGGTCCTCAAGATAACCACCGGATCAAGGGGGATTAAACCTTCAACCTTGACTCGATTGAGAGAGAAAATGGACTGCAAAAAATTGACGTGTGTCAAGGTACTATAAGTCTCTTCTGCCAGCGAGTGATTTAGTACCGGTGCTGTATATTAGGTTAAAAAACTTTCCAACACTCTCTCTAAAATCAAGTGCATAACAGTAAAGCCATTTTGCAATGTAATGAGAAATTTAAGGATTAAATTTAAATAATGATGAGGAAGTCACTCAAATTCACCTGCTGTTCAACTCTATAAAGTCTTGCACCAATAGTCATGGGCTTGACATTTCCAGACTTGTCTATGCCACTGAGATAACTGCCAGGTTTACCCAACGTCTGGTCAAGCCGACGCTGAAGTTCCTGTTGGGAGAAAAAAATGGTCATGAGTTCACTAATCCTGAGTAACAACTGTACAGTACAAAACATCCATCCTACCAAAGAATAATTTACACCAAGAACACCAAATCACTTAATGATTGATTGTTTAAGGTGCTAATGTTTTCTAAATTATAACACGACCTTACCAATATAAAGCAGAAGACTTTTAAAGGACATTCAGTCGTTTGGTGTAATGTACAGGACATGATGTCGAAGTACAGTATACTCTATATAAAAACTACCTGGTTAATCACACAGTTTGATGATAGATATGCCAATAATAGGTGACACAACTTGTTACAGTGCACCAACAACACACTGATATATAATTAGCTTTAGTAGATGTACACGTATTACATTCAGACAGATAACTGAGACACGCTGATGACAACAGTACTGTACTGTACTTGTTTCCCCTTGGAAAATAATTTTGTTTTCCTCAATCACTCTCCATATATCGAATAACCTTAATTTTCAGTAGTATACTGTATTAAGTAAGAGGCTCTTCATGTTTCCTTATGAAAACATAGTGTCTTACAATGGCCCTTATATAATACCTTATCTAATATCCTAAAGATAAATATTTGTACTTACTGAAGACATGGATTTCATTATAACCTTTAAATATCATTACTTTATTGTACATCGTCTCTTACACATCAGAACATAAATCTGTCATTAACTACCCTTATAATCACACCCCCCACCCCCAGTTACAAGGTCTCATTCCACTCACCTTGATTCTGACCATCATGTTAAGGTGTCCTTGGCTGTACTGTTCGATAACGTCTCTCACATCATAAGGTTTTCTGGCCTGTTGGAATTTCCTCCGGGCTACGAAGTATTTAATCTTTCTGATGGCCCTGATGGCATTACGATGAGCCTCAGTCAGCCTGCGGAGGAGAGTCCTGCAGTGTGTGAATTATTGACATGCAAGGGAGGTGCTGCATTCATGGTTAAGAAGGTAGTGCATGAAAGGAAGGTCGTGTCACGGGAGGAGTAACAGGATTTGTATACACAACATGAAAGGATGAAACTGTCTCTGCCAAAACACGAAGGCCCGAATTCAGAACAGTGATTTGAAACCGCATGGAGGTTTAAACCAAGGATCGAGCGAAGATTGTTGATATTCAGAAAGCTGGCTTGAGTCATCACAAAGACTCAAACCGGGTTAATCCAGCCTGGAGGCAGGTTTTGCAGTCGATCCTTCAAGCATGTCAACACGAATTTTGACAGAGTGCAGTTTTGGGCAAGATCATCAAATTTGAAATTTTGTAGAGAGAAGACTGATTGTAGATAGGCAGCATCCTATCAATTTTTATGATGACACACAATTTAAACAACGATATACTGTAGGTTCAGCAAGGGAGATTTCCCTGATATTTTCCGTGAAATGGTTCACCTCTACCTCCCATTCATCAGCTGACGATTGCTTTGAGATTCTTCACAACGAATAGTTTCCAGGTAAGAAAGATTTTGGTTATTGAATGAGTTATGGTAATGTGTTAAAACACTTTCGTGTTTAGGGTCCATGAAGATCAAGCAGGTAAATGTAAAGAACGTTGACGCTTCTTTATTTTGAGTGTTTTTCTTTAGGAAAACTATTATGATGTATATTCAATATGATTGAATCAATGTTGAGTGCATTTTGATTTGAATGTATTAATAAAATAAAGTCTTTTCTTAACATTACTAATCAGGAGAAACGTGGGGTTAAAAGAACGTAAAGAAACTGAACCTAACTGAGCCTAGCCAGGTTACTACACCTTGCATTGATTCATCTTGCTTTTGTTATGAATATTGACACCTGTCCCGGATTATATCTACAATTTATATGTAATTGTTCTTACTCTATGAATTTCTTTGCTATCATATAACAACACAGCCTCGTTGTAACACAGTACGTACCATAAATCATTATAATTTGATCATACATAATTTGATTGTAATTATAGTACAGTACGAGGTATAATAAAAGTAACTTTTGATGTGCATGGAAAGGTTTCTCCTCCTCCATAAAAACTTGTCGAGTCATAGTTGACGCCCTAATCTCGTAAACATTACTCTCGATGGTGATTGGCTGTCGTAATGGTGTAACTGAAATGTGATTGGCTGGAATTTCTGTGATCGAATCCTTGCTTGTAATTGAAGATAATGCAACAGATTACCCGATCCGGGGTTCAAGTTGATGTTCTGAATATGGGTAATCCAGTGCAGGAAATCTCGGATCGAGGAATTTAGATTCGCAGGCCTGAGCCGAGCTCAAATCCCAGGCTCAAATCACCATTTTTTAATTTGGGCCTTAAGGATTATCTAGGGAAGGGGGAGGGGGAAAGGGGAAGAAATGAGGAGAGGAAAGCGGAAAAGGGGGCTAATCTAATGGGGAAATAATGGGGTTTGCATTCAAGTGGTGATGGTACACTGCTACTTTGGTGATAAGATTGGATACTGTCAAGGGGGTGATGGTGGGGGTAGTGTGTAGTGGATGATGGTAGTGATGGTGGGTGTAGTGTGTAGTTGATGATGATGATGATGATGATGATGATGATGATGATGATGATGATGATAGAAATATGTAGTGGATGATGATAATGATAGTGGTAGGGGGTAGTGTTTACATACAATAATAATGAAATATCTAACATTAATAACATAACAATTAAAGAGAACATCATATCAATTAAGGTATACTGTATAACAAATGACATAACACAACTAACCACGAAATAAACAAATCCTACAACATCTATAAGTTTCAATATCATCTATGGTCAAAACTGTTTTATGTTCACCCTATCTTACTCCCTGATCATGTATAAAGAAAAACATAGTTATATTTTGGTTCCCTGTGTGCCTCTTTATTCTCAGATCTACTTCAGTAAATAACACTTTGGTGATATGTTTAAGTACAGTACACAGCTCCTTTATTTATGAAACGTGAGATGCATTAAAGGTGGAGATGGATCTATTTATTTTGCAATTGCTTAAGTGAGTGTCATTTCCTGATGATATAGAAGGGAACCTCTATTTAACGGAATATATGGAGAGGAAAGTCCGTTATATCGAGGGTATATGTTGTGAAACCTCTATTTAACGGAATATATGGAGAGGAAAGTCCGTTATATCAAGGGTATATTTGATGTGAAACTTCCATCTAACGAACTATATATATAGAGATGAAAGTCCATTATACCAAGGTCCATTTAGATGTAAAACGTCATCAAATGGATTACATGGAGAGAGAAGTCCGTTATATGGGGGTTTTATTAGGCTAACAGAGAGAGATAAATAGAACCTGATAATAAATATAAATGTTACTCTTATATAAAATTTCAGTGGTTTAGGAACTTTACATATAACCTGGGAATTCTACGATATTATTCTCGTTTTGGTGTTTATGGAATGGTGAATCTGCTCAGTTCAACATGTTACCTGGGATATGTTTCTTTTTTTTATCTTCCCTTAAAGAGTTGGGTTTATTTACAATTGTTTCTCTTCAATAACTAAACAAAACAAAATCAAGAGGAAGGATTCTCAAAGAGCGTAATACATTGTCATATTGGATTGTGTCACTAGTAACATCATAGACACAATAACATCACACTAGAGGGAAGGGGGAACTACACATGGGAGAACTTGATCATGTGGAGGTGTGGGTACCAGGCAGCCTCTGAGTACATGGGAGGAACAAGTTTATTGATGACGTACACAACTAATACAATTAAAGTTCCCACCAACATATTGAACTATTATAAAGAAATATATACGTATAGTGAATGGAAAAAACAACAACTGTCTTTCCCCTCTAGAGACTGCCAGGCTATTGTCTGAGGGAAGGTGATGTTAAGGTTACAATTAGAATTAAACTTACGAGGTAAACCCCTGAGGCTCATCAATGTCAAGATCTATTTCGTCGGAGGCCACCTCAGTCACCGATGACGCCTGGCTGTGGAGTGCCGAGCCTCTGGGCCCCCCCTCACGACGGGTCCGGTTGGGGGTGCCTGCTGTCGGGAAGGAAGGATGGGTCATGACTACTTGCTGGACACCATCCCAAATGGTGTAGACAAGATGATATGTACTAAATGAATGTCAATGCATAAATGTCTAAAATAATCAACAAAACTTTTTACACAGGACTGTATAAATAATTCTCAGCGTTGACTCCTAAAATCTATTACTGTACATGATTATTTTCAAAAAATGAAATCAAAGTATGTGTTCAGGTTATCAAAATTATATGAAACAAAATCTAAGCAATACACAGGGCAACTCTTTGTGCAGTTTCTGAAATTAATAAAAAAAACTCGGCAACTATTTATTTCATAAAAAAATATATATATGTACATATTTATAAACGATTTTTACATTTTTTTACAAGCATGATATTTATATATATATATATATATGTTGTCATCACAAAGTCACTATTGATTAATAAAATGATGCAGACTAAACAAAATGAAAAATCCAACAAGAAAAAAGGAAAAAACAAAACATACAAAATGAAAAATCCAACAAGAAAAAAGGAAAAACAAAACATACAAAATGGTATTATTAAAACATTCTAGTTTTGTTCATTCACAGATGTGAAGAAGAATATACAGTAGTGAAGCATGAAAACTAAAAACAAAAGTCATGGTTACAGACAGTTTGTGGATGGGAGGCTAAACTAGAGAAAATATAGATATAATAGTCAGCATTCTTTAAACTCAGTTAGTCAGGCTCACACACATTACAAAACCGTTTGTGTATTTCAAAAATAGTTTTCATATATCCAAAAATAGTTTTATCTCGCCTCTTAAATGCTACAAAAGATGTAACTTTGGAACATAATATATCAAGCTTTAATAGGTCCAATGCATATCGTTTATATAAATAATAAGATATATTTTCTTGTTTTAGTATTTACAGCATCAGTATGAGTAGGAGTTACAATGAGGTAGAAGCAAGTACAGTAAAAAAATTTGCTATGCACATATTAAACAACTCTGAATATGTAAACTCATTAATACACTTAACCTGGTACAGTATCCATGTATTATCAATAGATAGCTTAAATACATTTTGAATTGTGATTATAATTTTATATATCGCTATATAAGATATATATGTACAGTATAGTATACAGTATATATGTACGGTATTGTACTGTATATGGTATCGTGCAACATCACCACTGATCATTTTGCTGAAATACTATCAACTATTTCCCTAATACCGGCTGGTATTGGTTCTACAGTTCACAACATAGAAACTGCCAATGTAGGACCAGGAACAAGATAAGTACAGTACACCCCATCAAAGTTGGTCAGATTCATATTGCATTCCTTTTCCAGGAGTTGTGAGTTGACAAATATTGTGTAAAATGGTAATAACTGTAAGAAGAACGGTATTTTTAAACCGTAAATAACATGGATGTATTGCACGTTACTTATGCGGTTCTCGTGAGGTGGTAATGGTCTTGTTCTGTCCTGCTTTACTTGGCCACAATACTGTCTAGTACACAACTTACCCGTACACTCGTAGCTGCGTGACCGAGACAATCCCCTGACCCGCCCAGGGTTGCCAAGGTGGGTGGTGGGCGGTGCCCCTGGGATTTCCGTGATGGGCGACACACACCCGAGCATGCCCCTCAGGCGAGCCATGGACGACCATCGCCGCGCCACCTCCTCTACACCCATGCAACAGATGACATCACCACACCACATCAATACACGCTGGCGCTACACTACGCCACGCCAGCACGCCCGTGCCTACACCCGCCCTGCACCTCTCTATGCCCAGATAAATGCTAAAAAGGTGCTGCTGCCCTCTCTACTACCACAGCTGAGGACGAGTGGGGAGCGGGAGTGGGCCATCGGGCGGCTGGTGGAAGCCTTGCAACAGGGACATGACACTTTGTTACAGAATCGAGCTGCGACAACACACAAGGCTCTCAAGACTTTAGTGTGGGTTAATACAAGGCTTGAGACATGGAAGGCACCAGCTACTCTGTGTTGGCTCAACCACAGGTAAACAAGCACTACATGGACCTACATCAACACATACTGCAAAGTAGTAGCCAAAATTGAAATGCAGACACTCTTGTCGAAAGTAGTCTGTATAAATCTTATGAATTAATACAAACTTGAATTTCAAAGAGTAAAGTGTGATAAGAAATTAAAACTAAATAAAAGTAACACTAAGTCTAGGTGCTGTAAAACTGCATAATTAGGTAGATGGTTTGAGTAAATGTTTTGTAATATCATGGATTAACTCTTTTAAATAAACACAGTTCATGACTGAGAATGATCTGAGAACATACAGTACATGAACGAAGAGCAAAGACATGTACACATGAGGCATGACTAATAAGGTATGCACAAAGACAACCATATGTGTATTAACATCAAGGTCTCCCACACACACCATCACACTAGGAGATTGTTTCTCTTCCTCTCCTCTACCAACACCTTTATCTCTCTCCTGCATCTCTTCCTCCACCCATATACTCTCCTCTTCCATTTCTTAGACTATGATTCTCTACCTCTTGGGATTCACAAACCTGCCCTGGGCTCCTCCACGTAAAACACCATGTCGCCCTCACTGTCTCTTCTGCTTGAGTTCTCTGGAGCTGACGACACGTCCATCTTACTTTTCGATTTCCTTCTCCGTAACACACTTGCTCTCTTGGCCATCTAGGTAAACAAAAAACAAGCATTCAAGAACATTCACAATAAAATGACAATAAAATATTTACTGTGATTCTATTTCAACAGCAAATTGGTCTATTGTTAATATCTAACTGAGTAGATACAGTATAAAGAAAATTTCCTTTGTAAAGAAGAGGAAAGTTATAAGTAGACAAGATAATATAGTGGAGAACAACAATACCAATTATTTACGACATGAATTGCATTTCTAAAAGATACTGTTGATATTCAGTAAATAAGGTAGTTATATGATAGTAATAAACTGTTCCTCTACAATATTAAACTAAGTCATCAAAAACAACATTCACTTAACACTGCAGCTTGCAAACATGCATATTGGGTGTCAGAATTTTTTAACAACTTTCAGGTTAAATGTTTTTTTTCTTTTGCAGGTTAGCAATCTTCTTCAGTATAAAATTTATTGAATGTAATAGTTGGTGCATCATTATAGAGCTCAGAACACATAGAAATGTATTAGGCCTTATTTTTTGGTGATTGTTAGAAATGTGTTTGTAATATTTAGTTGGATAAATGCGTAGTCCTCTTCCAATAGTTACGAATATTCCATTATATAATTTCAGTAATAATTTCTCCAGGTAAATATTGAGTTAAACCAGTAAGTACAATCAAGTCCAAGAATATTATAATAACTTTTACTAACGTTTTGAACTTGGTCAGGTTTTTAATAATATGGTATTGTATAGAGAATGGGAGCCAAAGTTGTGCACACGAGCTCTACTTTCTTCATTATATTTTTTTTTAGAGAATAATATTAATATATCATTTAAATCCAGATCTTATGTAATGCATTGGAAATAATATAACAGGTATTATATGGGATACCTTAAAGCAGAAGCCACCAGCAAGGTTATATGTACAAGATACACTCAGAGTTGTGTGGGTGTGTCATCTGTCAGGTGGCACCTATATGGTTACAATGATAGGACTATATACAGAGCCAGGTATGATGATGGCCTCCTCCCTACACCTGGTCCCTCTATGATGACAAAATATTCATTATCCCATTTAGGAGATATTTTTAGGACTTAAGTGAATGAGCTTATGAGGGTCTACCACCCGAGGAATCATTTGTATTCTTGAAATTTCGTACGTACTTTCATGTGGCTTTAGAGAAAACTTAAGGTAATTTTGCGCCACCTGCCCGAGTAATGCTACGAGATGACTGAGAGTAACACCTCCTGTGGCCCAACTATCGCTGTCTCCTAATTCCATTCCCCTCTCGTTCTGTTTTGAAACCATCTGTCTCTATATCTCATTATCATAAAAATAAGATATATATTTTTTGGGGGGGAAGTAAAGGGGGTAACTTAAATGTTCCCACCTTTTTAAAATCCCCAAATTCCAGGTTCTGAATCAAAATTGGACTCGAAGCAATTTATTTTTTCTCTGTGTTTCACCCTATTCGTTAAAGTGATGGCCCATAACTCGCCACAGAAAAAGACGCCATAGATTTGATGGTAACGATGAAATATAGCTTAATTATGCCGTTGCCTCGAAATTCATCATTAAACTAGCAATAAGGGCTGGAAGAAGGCACATCAGAGGATTCAGAGCTAATGTTAACTTACTACCCTGACCCTTACCTCAACTACCCTGAATAAAATGTTAAAATTAGTCTCCTTATATCACCTTAATATTATCTTTCTGTAACTTAAACAACTTATCTTTCAGTAAATTCCAACGATATACAGAAAATCACTAATTATATACGTAACTTAAAACTTCTAATACTCTATATATACGTTGTTTGTATTAAGTTCTAGCATCAATGAAGTACTTGTTATCAGTATTATTTCTGTGTTTCTTATCACTGAGGCTTCTAGACTGACGATATTATAGTACAATGATGTATGAACCTCCATACATGGTAAAGATACATAGATAACTTCAAACATTATACCATTAAGTTTTACCTGAATTATTACTCTTAAAGCCACAAGTAATATACGGTACACATATGTATACAGTATATACAGATTCTATATATATACTGGTACTATATATTTTTCTCAAAACACCACCATCAGAATCAGTCTATAAGAAAATTTTCACATATGTCAGAGACTTATCATGGGAGAACCATAACAAGTTAACCAGAATGTCAACATTAATTTAGTTAGATTAATTTAATGATAGATAAAAACATTTAGAAATGAAATCATGAAAATCTTCGACAACAATTAACACCAGTCAAGATCATATATTGGTTGTATAGTAGCGACAGAGGTAAACAAGTGTGTGTGTGTGTGTGTGTGTGTGTGTATGTGTGTATAATGAAATTCCCCCAAAATCATATAAACTTTCTTTCTTTTTTTTGAGGGAGAGAAAGGGAGCAACATTCCATCACTTCACTATGATCAGCTCGCTCTCAGCACTGATGCTTGAAATCATGGGGGAGAAGGAAGTGGAAATGAAGAGGATAGAGATGGAAAAGGGAGAATGGAGGTGAAAGTACTGAGTATTTATCTTTCATTGAGACCTAGCAACTTGTACCTGCTTCATATGAAAGGGTCCTCCACATGTCAGGAGGTCAGTAAATGATGAGAGGAGTAAAGATTCTAACAAGTGGTCAGCCCTTAAGGGAAAATTTCAATAGAAATCAAGGTACTAGAGATACAGATAGTAAGAATAATACTTTGTAAATTTTGACCAGACTAAACCTAACAAATTTTAACTTGCAAGTAAATGTTAAATTGTCAAGTGTACAGTACTATACATCTTAGGATACTCTTGAAGGCCTGTGGGAGATATACATTTGTGTGAGAGGAATCTTTGCCCTGCTTCAACATGTACAAGAAACACCCCTGTAACTACCAGGGTATTACTTCATAAAACATCTCATTTTAGATGTTTAAGTCTGCAGAATTAATCTGATCAACACCAAATACTTATACACTTACAAATACGTACTACAAACAGTTCAAGAAGTTCCCACATTATTCCTGTCTTCTCAAGAGATGAATTAACCACAAAGGCTTTATATCCATACATCAATATACCTGTATTATCATCTACTCTGTTGTCATCATTAGGATACACAGGTAAAGATGTATTTTCACTAGTAACCTGATAGCTTGTCTAACCTTGGGTCTTATTAATGATATATACTGTGCTGTGTGATTATAAATTTCCTTGTGAATATGAAATCATTTAACGATCTTTCATGACAAAAACAAAAACAAAAGTTACAAACAAAATAATACCAGCTTCAACACCATAAACAAATTGATAAAAGTAAGAAAAGTATATTCTCTTTACATTAGTTCAACAAAGCCCATTTCTCTTTTAATATAGTCTAACCCTTATTTTTGTTCTTTATCCATAACTACAACTTCAAACAAATGAGTCTGAAAATATAAGTCATAATATACTGTATATTCATTGTGTATTTACACACAGATACAGTTTATCCCTCGCCATATGTCATTTCTAAACCAAAGATAAATACAGTATTAGACAGTGAGAAAATACGATACTAGGAGGTGGAGGCTGTGTGGGTGTGTGTGGATATTGTAATTCAAGTGTAAGCAGATAATATTGCCCAAGTTTTCCAGCACAAAACAGGAAGCAGTATTAAAAAAGATTTGATTTATCTAAAAGCAATTATTAATTCATATTATACACAAAGGCATTAATGATTTATATTATGGATGTGAGTTTTTACAGCAAAAGAATGATTACATGTTTTGGAAAACAGCAGAAAAATCACATAAATGTAATAGTCAATAAAAAAATTAAAAACATTAAGTGGATAACATCCAAATATGTAGCGAGTTAAAGAATCATTAGAGACAAGAGGTAAATGAGCGTTAAAACTGAAAAAAAACACAACGATATTCAACAGATTATATGAACAGTAATGATACTCACTGAGAGGGCATAACAACACCCATCTTTCACCCCAGTAAATTTCTCATGCAAGCTAACACACTGGGTCAGGTGGTGCATCGTGGCACAGCACATGTATGGCAAGGGAATGTGTCTCAACTGTCATGAATGGCATGAGAGCTACTGTCATGCATTCAAGATGTATAAGATACGTATCCCTTATTATATACAAGATATTGCATACTATGTGTTTGTCTACATACATCCATACACATTTGTTCATGCACATGCACACACTTTACATTTTTCTCACTAATGATACAAATGTACACATTACACATACACATCAAGGACAACAAACAAGCTGGAATAATCATTTTATCTCTTTTTGCACACTGATGTAACGTCCAATCTGTACAACGTGTAATCTCAGTACCATTATTACACCAGCTTTCGTCTAATTCTTTCGCGTTACCAGTCAATCATAATTCATTCGCATTTCTGAGTTATCTTTTCAAACAAGCTGTGCTAAACAAAATTCTGAACACTGCATATCTTACTAAAGCTTCTGTTATATGCTGCTTGATTTTGGGGAAGGAGGGAGAGAAGGGGGGATAACTGCTGCCAAGGGTGATAATGTAGCATAAATGGACAACGAAAATGAAATGGGTTGCTATGGTGTTGAGGGGTAACTAAAATACTTCACCTTGCTTAGTGGTGTATTCAGAGAACTCTCCTGCAAAATTGAATCAACATCTACAGTATTGAACATAAGCAATAATATAGTAAAATATAGATATAGGAATAGATTTAGATGCATAAGCATAAGTTCTGATCTTTTTTATGTATTACAATTCTGACTACTAGAAAATTTGTAAAAGATTGTTTCTTATTACAAAGTTAAAATAAGAATAGAGCTTATTGTTAGTTATTAATTGGCATAATCATTAAATTATCAGATGCAAAATATTCATCTTCTGTAGGATGCATTACATAACAATTTGTATTATTTATTTAAAGAAAAAATAACATACCAATTACATACATTTACAGTACAGGAACTGAAGATATGGCTAAGTGTCAACCAAATATGAGAAGCAAACTAAAGAAACTTAAAATTTAATTGTGTGAATAAATTATAATCATAACATGCTTTGATAAAGTCACATTTCCAAAGCAACAAATATCATAATCATAAGGTGCTCCCAGTCAAGCAATTTCTAAAAATAAAAACAAAATAAAAGCATTTTGGATATAATTTTACTTCTGAGTTGATCTTCCATACAGTCTCGTATTTATACCTTAACAAAATATAATGTAAAAAGTGACATTGTCTTCTGTCCTCAATGATCTAGGTCAATAAGGCACTTGAATACATTATCAATTACCATCAATAACAACAAAAACATTCTTGAGATACTGTATTTCATATTAAAAGAAGTAGATTCTGTTTTTAATGTTTAGTATAATACTTAATCTTTGTCTGGTAAAGTAAGTGATATGCAAGGTGAACAGACTCGAAATATATTTGTATTATTTTTTATTCTAGGATATCCCGAGTTTAATCCAATGTGCATTCAAGTACTAATAAGAACACACACTTATTGCCTTTTTTATTGTTGTTCATAATGTTAAAAAAATTAGGGAACGTGAATATAAAGCAACACTTAATTTTTCACATGTAAACAATTTGGTGTCAATCATGTGTCATGTAATATCACTAACTGTATTTTGTTTATATTCCAAGCTAAGAAAGGATGTTATATATAGATGTTTCAGTCTCAGGTTATGATCTATTTACCTAAGAGAGAACGCACAGGGTATTATCAACAACGCCAGTATGACTCTCCGACTAAGAAGAATTTTAAATTTCATATAAATTTATTCTCATTTATAATTACCAAGTTAAATACAGGTAATTTACCTTGCTTAGCGGTGTGGATTGTGAGTTGTTGTTGGCGTTTGGATCTTTGAGGTGAATTTTCCAGGTAGCTGTTGAGTTGAAGTGTTTGTCTGCTGCGTAACATCGCCACAAACACTGGATCAACATGGCAGCTGCTGGGATCTGACGGTTGAAGTGCTTCTGCCGTTGTTTCTGTTGCACTTTAAGAGCAAACCCAGAGCCGAGGATACCCTGTGAAGATGACCACATCTTACCACCCACACACATGACTCGATTGTTACAGACGTGTCATCATAACATACGGTGTTTACAGTTGTTTGCAAGAGGTAAACAACATCACATTGGATGAATAATAAAACGAATGACAGATGAAAAACGAATATACTCGAACACACATAACAATCCCGAACTATGACGGTACAGTAAAATTAAAGTACAGTCAACCCTCGCTTTACGCGGTCCCACATTCCGCATTTCCACGTTTACGCGGTACCCTGCCGAAACAGGAATGCTCACATTCAGCGGTGCGTGTACCCCTTTACGCAGAGAGCGGCTGGCGAGCCGCGTCATTTTTTTATTCAAACCTCCCGCCATCCGCCATGTTGTGTAAGCTGCGCGAGCATGGTGCGCACAAGGTCGCCCAGTCATCAAAACATTACCGAGTTCTTCACCCGCCACCCACCACAGCCGGCCCAAGTCAGTGATAGTGATAATTGTAGTTAAGATACTAACTTATATGGACTTTGAGGGGTTTGACAAAGAGGCCCTGCAAGCCTCTATGGTGGATAGTGATACAATTGTTACAAGTGATACAGGTGAGGGCCAATAATCTGCCCTCTGCCTCGGAACCAACCGCCCATCCCCGTGTGCCCAGCCATCTTTTCTACTTATGCCCTCTGCCTCGGAACCAACCGCCCATCCCCGTGTGCCCAGCCATCTTTTCTACTTATGTAAGTGTTAGAAAACCTAATATTATTGATATTTCTCTTAATTATTAATTGTTTGTGCATACCATCATCAAGTTAAGATAATATTTTTACTACAACATAGTTGTGTGTCGTCAAAAAGTGGAGTTTGGGGGTCGGCCCGGACTCTATTTCAATTAATCCCATTTGTTATGTTATTCACTTTACGCGTTCCTCACTTTCCGCGGCACCCTATGGGTTACATTAACCGCGTAAAGTGAGGGTTGACTGTATACTGTAAATTCCACAAAATACATATAAATAATCCTCTACAATAATACAGTATAATATAAGCTTTTAATAATTTCTGGTAAGATCTTCCTCACTAAAATCGTCATCTCAATGTTCTGTCAAGATGTACTGTACCAAGTCAGACACAGAAAGTCACACCCTCCTATATCTCAAGAAGGAAATAAATAGTCACTCTCCAATATCAACATCTATGCAAAAGTTCATATACATAAATAAAAGCCATCAGTTAATAGATTATAGTGGATTCCTCCCCTACAAACGCCGTTTGTCGCTGTGTAGCCAACCCTTTTCGAATTCCCCGGCCTACGCCTCCAGTGCCGCCTGACGGAGCAGGGGTCAACTTCAACCCACGCCTACCCCCGCCTTATAAGACCTCACCCCGCTGTGACCACCCTCTTTCTACCTACTGCCACCAGCAAGCAACACCTTCTCCTCTGCTCCAGCCTGGCGGCTCCCGCTCCCGCCGGCGACCTTGGCGTCCCTCAAGCTGCGTGCCCTCCTCTGAGCACCCTCACCAACCAGCACTCTCTACTCAATGCTTGTAACCATGCTGCCTACCCAGCAACAAGCTGCATTGTACATCCAATACAATATGTATACAGAGAGCACATTGTGAGTTTCCTTTCTCCATCCCATCCTGAGTGTGAACCAATATCTCATAACGCTACAAGATAAACCAAAATAGTATAACCAACTCATATATCAAGGTATACAGATATACTGTACTCACGGCAGGCAGGGCAAAGAACGATATGGCAAACACACTGAAACATGAAGCAACAATCTTCCCCATCCACGTCCTGGGCACAGTGTCACCATACCCTATTGTCGTCACAGTTATCTGAAAGAGGAATATAAGTCAATTTATCTCATACATTTTACCATTTAACTTAAACAAAATTGTGAGCTGCCATGCTTTTGTCTTCCTCCATGTAAAGTTAAGGACAATATTCCCTGTACACCTGGTAATATTTGGCATCTGTTGGAACCCACAAATGTTATCAAGACACCCAAGAAATATCTGAGAAAACACATTAAGATTCCAATCCCCTTTAACTAATGATCCTCAAGTACTTACAGGCCAGATACTGTCAAGTGTCCAGGGAATTTTGTCCACAACTGTACATAATCCTCAGAGTGAGAATTGTATGAAAAAAATAATGGTGAGCTAGAATTTCATAACTGTTTCTTTTCCTTCATTACAATTTGCTGTAGGACCAAATAAAATATTAACAGTTTAATTTACAAACTTTATGACAGATAACACTAATGCTTTGACTTCCCAACAGATAAAATATCTGAATTTTTACTGATGCTGCAAAATGAAGTTGAGAAAATTTTTCATTAAGAAGAAAAAAAATAAGACTGACCACTTGAAAAAATCTTATACAGCACAAAAAAGACTTAAATCATAACCACAGGAACTAAGACTTCTAAGACTAATTAAATATTATTTCGTGAGGATTTTGAAAGTTTAAGTGAACAGTACTAAAATAAATGGAAAATAAAGTTAACCTGAAATGTCATTCAAAACAGAGATTGATATTAAGTGTCTGGAAATATCTTTAATAATTTTTAATAGTAATAGGCTAAGTTAGCTTAAGTTAGATTAGATTAGGTTAAGGTAGAACATTAACATAATATCACAATGCAAAGATGTCTTGACTGTCATGTCCTCAGCTAACACACCCTGAGGTAAACTTACTCACCTAACACGAATTCAGATAAGGTTTGCCCACCTAACACATCCTGGGCAAAAGTTTCCTCACCTAACACATCCTGGGCAAAAGTTTCCTCACCTAACACATCCTGGGCTAAAGTTTCCTCACCTAACACATCCTGGGCAAAAGTTTCCTCACCTAACACATCCTGGGCTAAAGTTTCCTCACCTAACACATCCTGGGCTAAAGTTTCCTCACCTAACACATCCTGAGCTAAAGTTTCCTCACCTAACACATCCTGGGCAAAAGTTTCCTCACCTAACACATCCTGAGCTAAGGTTCCCTCACCTAACACATCCTGAGCTTAAAGTTTCCCTACCTAACACATCCTGGGCTAAAGTTTCCCTACCTAACACACCCTCTACCTGCCTCCCCTACTCACCACTCCCCACCAGAGGGCATCGGCGTAGCTAGAGAAGTCCCCCTCGCCATCTTCATCTTCGTCGTCCTTCTTCTCAGCCAGGTACACAAAATAGGACGAGAAGATGAGGCCAAGGAACCCAATATACAGAGTCGTTATCAACTCCTGTAGAAGAAGAGCCGGAGTTGGTATACCATTTGGGGCTGCTGTAACAAGTATTGGTTCACCTGAAGGTTAAGTATACAGGTTTATTTTACCTGTTGATTGAAGAGTCTAATGGTAACTGAGGAGGGTGTAAATTGGGTTGGGTTTTCATTTGGGTATTTAATCATCAGGCAAAATGCTTTGGAGTGTCTAATCCTCAGTTGATCATACGAAAAAGCAGACTGTTTGTTTCCAAGAATATATTACCACTAAAGATTAGCATTAACCAAATACACCTGCAGTGCTTTAAAACACTGACACACCTGTAATAGCGTATAAGGTCAAAGTTAGTTTCTAAAAGCTTGGTATTATCCCTACACACTCGCTCCACAATGTATCTCTACGGATGGGTCCGATGAATTTCAAAAGGAACACGAGACTCCTGTTGTCTCGGTAACTGTCAAAATCCTTCGTCCGTTGTGTCATATATCTTACAGAAAATCGAAAAGGTACCTTTTGGAGCGAGTGTACCTTAATTAACCACACTAGTTGAAGAAATAATGTAATGGATATATATCACTATATTTTGCAGTATGTAAGTAATAGTAAAGCATATATAGTAATTTCTTCCCACCTGAAATATTCTAGAGAATCAAAACAATTGAGTAAAATATCAAAACAAAAAGAAACTCAATTCATTGCTGTCCCAATGACTGTACTTGTGTATGAATGAAGACGAGAGAGAATAAGTTTAACTTGTGTGTAAAGGAACATGAGAACGTCATTGTGTCTGTAAATACAATTCCTGATGAGGAACTCTCTGACTTGTCTGTGAGCGAGGAAGGAATTCTTACTTGTCTGTGGATAAAGACGACGGAGCCGAGGAGTCTCCAGGTGCCTCCCTGTCTGTCGACGTGCAACATGCGTAGTATCTGCAGGAAGCGGATCCCTCTGATAGCCGACGTGGCGAATACCTGCCCATTCGACCCCACACACAGAACCACCACTGACGCTACCACAACTATCAGATCTGGAAAGTGAGTAGTGGTTAATTTTGTGGTATAACTGAGAGAAGAAATAATTACTATAAACATCAATAATAAATATAGGGAATAATAATATCAAAGAGGTAAATATTGAAATGAATGATAAATTTTGATGTCCAGGATAAATATGATAGTCAATGAGTTATAGGATATTCATGCAACAGAGCAACAACACATGGAAAAGAGTATATTATTCCAATTATAAACAGTTGTCCCAATTATAAACAGTTGTCCCAATTATAAACAGTTGTCTCATCTATCTGACACTTCAAAACAGTTCCTCGTGTATGAAGAGAGATGTACTAAGGGAGTGATAACCTATAAACATATTAGGAACGTGAGCACCTGAAGGCCGCCCTGAGGAACACCTTTACCTGGGTCATCCTCTCTCTGGGAGCCACACGTCCTTCACATGAGTCTGTGAGGAACGTTTACTCTCACTCAGCTGCAAATTCTGGCGTTTTTCTTAATGCTTTTCCTTAAAAGTAACGATGACAATGTTCCTTTATAAGTAGATAAGTTTGTTTTATAGAGTTTCTCATTGTGTTTGTTTTGTGGTAAATATGAAGTGGTGTTTTATAGAGCCTCTAGCTTATTGTGTATAGAATGTAGTGATGCCAGTGTCGTGTTTCATGAAGCATCTATGGTTTCGACTCCCAACGCTGAAGACGCGGGTTCGATTCCTTAGGCAATATAAATTAGAGAGGCTTTATCTCATACTCGATCTTCCCGAGTCTCGTCCCGAGTATTTTGGGGACGAGAGCAAAAGCATCTCCCTAAAGTGATCGAGGTTAGAACATTGTCCTGGTACGGCGTCAGGTCAGAAGCCTCACAACGGGCGGCGGATATCTCCATCTTTAACACCCTGTGACCTTCTTGATCTTTGACCTAGTGACGTCATATCCAGCAGGAACTCTCCACAGGCATCAAGTAAAAACCTTATAAGTGTTGTTTGTTGATCTGATATTGTCAACGTCAGGTATCACATCCAAAATAATCTTGTTAATGAAGTAAAATTATTAACCCACGTCTGATCAGGTATGAAGCTGTGATTACTATAACAACCACAAAAATAATGAAGAGTTGCTATGGTTACCAGTTCCGACAGGTGAACAAGAGTGTGACCATGGCAACAACATACGCCCCAGGTAAGAGTACCTCCCCGAGAGAACAATATCACAGTCAGGTATATTAAACCAAAAAAATGACCGTCTGTCCTGTGATGTAAGTTTCATTTGGACACTAACATGAAACATGACTGGAACTCTCGTCATGAAGCCAATTATTCACGAGGGAAAATGGCTCCGTGAAATATATCAAGAAAACATATATCGAAAAAGATAATTAAAAAAAAATATTAGTATACATGTAGTCTAGCTCTTAAGTAAATCAGAATCTATTGTAACTAGAGATTTGATTCATTAGAGTTAAAGATTAATTTATATAAAGGACATGAAGACTTTACTCTATCATCCATCAGTATAAGTTGAGGTTCTTGATACAACACTTGGGATAATGTGGTCAACAAAATGAATGGTCGAGCTTGGAAATCAAAATACATATTAACATAGAAGTCTGTTTTTTTTTGTGAGTTTATGTCCAACTGTGAATAGTGATAATGTGCTGTTACCTTTTTGAAATACCTGTGTATGTATAGGTACCTGTATCCATACCTGTATCAATCCTTGTACCTGTATCTATACCTGTATCAATCCTTGTACCTGTATCTATACCTGTATCAATCCTTGTACCTGTAACTATACCTGTATCAATCCTTGTACCTGTATCTACCTGTATCCTTGTATATCTATACCTGTATCCTTGTACCTGTATCCATACCTGTATCAATCCTTGTACCTTGTACCTGTATCTACCTGTATCCTGTACCTCAATCCTTGTACCTGTATCCATACCTGTATCAATCCTTGTACCTGTATCTATACCTGTATCAATCCTTGTACCTGTATCTATACCTGTATCAATCCTTGTACCTGTATCTATACCTGTATCAATCCTTGTACCTGTAACTATACCTGTATCAATCCTTGTACCTGTATCTATACCTGTATCAATCCTTGTACCTGTATCCATACCTGTATCAATCCTTGTACCTGTATCTATACCTGTATCCCTTGTACCTGTATCCATACCTGTATCAATCCTTGTACCTGTATCTCTACCTGTATCAATCCTTGTACCTGTATCTATACCTGTATCAATCCTTGTACCTGTATCTATACCTGTATCAATCCTTGTACCTGTAACTATACCTGTATCAATCCTTGTACCTGTAACTATACCTGTATCAATCCTTGTACCTGTAACTATACCTGTATCAATCCTTGTACCTGTATCCATACCTGTATCAATCCTTGTACCTGTATCCATACCTGTATCAATCCTTGTACCTGTATCCATACCTGTATCAATCTTGTACCTGTATCTATACCTGTATCAATCCTTGTACCTGTATCCATACCTGTATCAATCCTTGTACCTGTAACTATACCTGCATCAATCTTGTACCTGTATCCATACCTGTATCAATCCTTGTACCTGTATCTATACCTGTATCAATCCTTGTACCTGTATCCATACCTGTATCAATCCTTGTACCTGTAACTATACCTGTATCAATCCTTGTACCTGTATCTATACCTGTATCCCTTGTACCTGTATCTCTACCTGTATCAATCCTAGTACCTGTATCTATACCTGTATCAATCCTTGTACCTGTATCCATACCTGTATCAATCCTAGTACCTGTATCTATACCTGTATCAATCCTTGTACCTGTATCCATACCTGTATCAATCCTTGTACCTGTATCTATACCTGTATCAATCCTTGTACCTGTATCTATACCTGTATCAATCCTTGTACCTGTATCTATACCTGTATCAATCCTAGTACCTGTATCTATACCTGTATCAATTTGTACCTGTATCCATACCTGTATCAATCCTTGTACCTGTATCTATACCTGTATCAATCCTTGTACCTGTATCCATACCTGTATCAATCCTTGTACCTGTATCAATCCTACCTGTATCATCATCACCTCATTCATACCTGTGTACCTGTATCCATACCTGTATCAATCCTTGTACCTGTATCTCTACCTTCATCAAACCTTGTACCTGTATCTATACCTGTATCAATCCTTGTACCTGTATCTATACCTGTATCAACCTGTAACTATACCTGTATCAATCCTTGTACCTGTATCTATACCTGTATCAATCCTTGTACCTGTATCCATACCTGTATCAATCCTTGTACCTGTATCCATACCTGTATCAATCCTTGTACCTGTAACTATACCTGTATCAATCCTTGTACCTGTATCCATACCTGTATCAATCCTTGTACTTGTAACTATACCTGTATCAATCCTAGTACCTGTATCTATACCTGTATCAATCCTTGTACCTGTATCTATTACCTGTATCAATCCTTGTACCTGTATCTCTACCTTCATCAAACCTTGTACCTGTATTATGTATCTATGACTGTAACTTATGAATCAAAACACTGAAATTAAATGTAAGGTTGTAGTCAAATCTTTCTCAGACTATAAACATTAAACAACTACCACGGAATCACAAACCTTATGAACACTAAGAAAATAAATTAAGACTAACGTTCAGACACACACATCAAACAAATAATCAAATGCTATAACCTTAACTACAGAACAAACACAAAAACAAACACATTTTGAACCTTAAATACAGTACAAAAACAAAAAAACAAACACATTTTGAACCTTAAATACAGTACAAACACAAAAACAAACACATTATGAACCTTAAATACAGTACAAACACAAAAACAAACACATTATGAACCTTAAATACAGTACAAACACAAAAACAAACACATTTTGAACCTTAAATACAGTACAAAAACAAAAAAACAAACACATTTTCATCTTTAACTACAGAACAAACACATATAAGTCACACACCTCCACTTACCTATAATACAAATTGGTTTCCTTATAAAACGTATTCTGCCTAAGAAGCCCATGTATTTAGAGCGACACCCAGCGGCCCACATCCTAACCGCGTACTCCACACCGAAGAAGACGACCAAGCAGATCTCCTGTAGTAGGGACAGAGAGAAGGAGGGGGGGGGAAGGGAGGGTTAGTTTTTCACCTTCGTCAGTATTCTGCGTGTGGGAGGTAGTGGTAGGGGGTGATGTTGATGTGTAAGAATGATTTAGGTTATAGGATGTTGCTGTTGGTTATACTCACATATTAGATAGTTTCAGAAAGGTTTCATACACACATACTAATTGAAATATATCATACACTTCATATGATAGACATAACAAAATACCTCTAATTATTTCCTTGAGTACAATGCTTTTCTCCTGAGTACTATGAATCAGCCCACAGAATAAGATAGTTTTACCCCCGAGTACGACGAATTAACCCACTTGAGTATAATATATTCTATCCATTATTTACAATGTCTTATCCCTTCCAATACAATGACTAATCGTCTTGAGTACAATAACACGAGACTCATGGGATAAAGTCATTGTACTCATAGGATTAATAACCTAATCATTACTAAATCAAAAAGACATGAATTCCATTAAAAAAAATCACTCATTTCTCACAGCTAAAATAATCCCAACCTTAAAAAAAATGATCAAAACAAAAGAAACACGACGAAAACAAAAGAAACACGACGAAAACAAAAGAAACACGACAAAAACAAAAGAAACACGACGAAAACAAGAGAAACACGACGAAAACAAAAGAAACACGACGAAAACAAAAGAAACACGACGAAAACAAAAGAAACACGACGAAAACAAAAGAAACACGACGAAAACAAAAGAAACACGACGAAAACAAAAGAAATAGGAAGAAAACAAAAGAAACACGACGAAAACAAAAGAAACACGACAAAAACAAAAGAAACACGACAAAAACAAAAGAAACACGACGAAAACAAAAGAAACACGACGAAAACAAAAGAAACACGACGAAAACAAAAGAAACACGACGAAAACAAAAGAAACACGACGAAAACAAAAGAAACACGACAAAAACAAAAGAAACACAAAGAAAACAAAAGAAACACGACGAAAACAAAAGAAACACGACGAAAACAAAAGAAACACGACGAAAACAAAAGAAAGCACAACAAAAACGGACGAAAACCATAACTAGAAAAAGTCTCCCCTTAACACACACACCAGAGGAGGGGAGACTATAACAACATGATCGAGTTCTCTTGTCGCCTTCAACACTGTGGAGACAACGCGACACTTGATCTCGTTTAACTCTCAATTTCTCTTCATTATTTCGTGGCAGTGTTGGGTTAACTGGTCCATCTAGTTTAGGGTGATGAGTTATACCAATGACAGACAGACAGATAAAGATATAGATAGATAGATAGATAGAGGGAAAGTATTGGAGACACAGAAAGAGAAAGAATTAAAGAGAAAGATAGAGGGAAGGAAGGAAGGAAGGGAAGAAGGAAGGAAAGAAGGTAGGAAGGAAGTAGGAGTTTATTTCCTACCAACTAATATACTAATGGCTTTCCAATACCCACAGCCCATCACTAGACAAATATCTGACAGGGGTGAGAAATACATCAGCCTACCCTCAACATACTCATCATACACACTAGTATAACAGTATATCATTATAAAGGGGTGAGAAATACACCAGTCTACCCTCAACATACTCATCATACACACTAGTATAACAGTATATCATAATAAAGGGGTGAGAAATACATCAGTCTACCTTAAACATACTCATCATACACACTAGTATAACAGTATATCATAATAAAGGGGTGAGAAATACACCAGTCTACCTTAAACATACTCATCATACACACTAGTATAACAGTATATCATTATAAAGGGGTGAGAAATACACCAGTCTACCCTCAACATACTCATCATACACACTAGTATAACAGTATATCATTATAAAGGGGTGAGAAATACACCAGTCTACCTTAAACATACTCATCATACACACTAGTATAACAGTATATCATTATAAAGGGGTGAGAAATACATCAGTCTACCCTCAACATACTCATCATACACACTAGTATAACAGTATATCATAATAAAGGGGTGAGAAATACATCAGTCTACCCTCAACATACTCATCATACACACTAGTATAACAGTATATCATTATAAAGGGGTGAGAAATACATCAGTCTACCCTCAACATACTCATCATACACACTAGTATAACAGTATATCATTATAAAGGGGTGAGAAATACACCAGTCTACCCTCAACATACTCATCATACACACTAGTATAACAGTATATCATTATAAAGGGGTGAGAAATACACCAGTCTACCCTCAACATACTCATCATACACACTAGTATAACAGTATATCATTATAAAGGGGTGAGAAATACACCAGTCTACCCTCAACATACTCATCATACACACTAGTATAACAGTATATCATTATAAAGGGGTGAGAAATACATCAGTCTAACCTCCACATACTCATCATACACACTAGTATAACAGTATATCATTATAAAGGGGTGAGAAATACACCAGTCTACCCTCAACATACTCATCATACACACTAGTATAACAGTATACCTTAAAGCAATATCCCACAGTGTCACCACAGTCATGGCAACACCAGTATACTTACATGCTTAACTGTAGGATAATCATTGACGATATACCAATATATTATTACGTAACATAGTATACTCTTTACGTATCACACATATACCCGTACATAACAGCCGAGTATATTCACATGTAAAACACAAATATACCTACATATGCCACTAACATACACACGATGAGAGAGAGAGAGAGACAGATATGCTCCACCAGTCTTCCTCATCCCCCACAACAAACACTGGAGCCATCGTGGGACATCAAATTTATTTACCTTCCCCTTGATGACATAACCTACCTGTTGACCCCTCAAATACTGTCACCTGTCCATAATAATATTACTTTAACCTAAACTAATTAAGCGTCTCCTGCTCTGTGTTGATGAGTCCGTTCAGTTTAATTCCTGGCTCCCACTTTGTCTCTCACACACACACAAGAATTGGATTTTATTAATACACACAGACAGATACACACACACACATACACTATATAATTATGCAATACGTACAAGTATAATATATAATCACTGATCACAGAAAACTAGCTTGGTACTTGAAATACAGTCTTCAATATCATCGTTTTCACTAACACGCTCATACACACACACACAGAGATAAATAAACAATAAATAAAAATAAGACTAGTGAATAAACAACAAAGGTAAAATAATAACAAGAGTACTTACCATCCAGAAAAGAGTTTCATTGGCGAATTCCTCGTATTCATTGATGGTGGACAAGACACTGAAGATGAGGCAGATCAACACCGCCATAAACCTGTCAAAGAAAATGACTGTGAGTTCACGGGAGACTCTAGCAATATGGAGCGCCTCGTTTACTCTAACATTACGAGATTTATGACGAAGCGTTCCATGTGCTTAAAGCGGCTTAGGAAACTTGAGGAAGGAACATTGCTGAATAAATTATTACTCTTACGTTTTTTTACGATTAATTTTAACTTATAAACGACATAGAAAAATAAATTAGAGAAAATAAGTCACTCATAATAGAAAAAAATAGCTTGTCATGAATACCTTACGTAAATACCTGATGTGATTACCTGTTGTTTATATGAAGTAAACACGTGGGATCATTATGTAAGTTATAACCCGTGTTTATTACCTGAAGTGAACACCTGTTGAATTTATAATTATCACGTGATATAAACATCTTGAGGAAGGAAGGAAGGAAGGAAGGATCATATTATGAAGCCAAACACTTTAACCTCTCTTGACGTAACAATACTGCACACACACACACACACACACACACACACACAACAAGGTTCACCCGGAGTAAAATTATCCCCTGTTCCATTGTAGTCTTTACAAGTTGTAAAGAGAGTTAATATTCTTTGTAAATTTATACAACAAAATTAGTATTAAAAAAGATGTGCGCTTGACACATTTCCCAATCATGTATTTCACTTTGGGATTCAGAGAATGAATTTATTATGCAAATGAGATGAGGAGAAGGGTTGGGACAGTCTTTTGATGCCTAAAGTAATTTTGTATAGACTGCAGTTATTGAAGTACTTGGTGAGTCGTGTGTTATAATTCTCTCTCTCTCTGTCACTTCCCTACCTAACGCTTTGATGATCTTAACTTCAAACGTCACTAATACCTAATACTGTATTTAACCGATAACCGTCTCACACACACACACACACACACAGTAAGGCGTGTGTGTGTGTAATGCAAGTGCTCAAAGCTGCTTGTCTCTAGAGGATGACACACACATGTATGCACCTCCTGGTCGGCTCAAGAGGGCTCACACAAACTACTAAGGGCTGCCTGACTCACTGTTGGAAACTCACGGCAGAGATCATCAACTTGAGGCAATTACGAAATATATCACGCTGGGTGTTGGTGTTTGTTTTGGAAATGTTTGGTGTTTGAAGTTTATATGATATGATTTTGTTTTATTATTATTGTTTGTATTGTTTGGATTTTCTTTTGTTTTATTTTGGTTTTAATTCTCTTTCTTTCATCTATAATTATTTATGATACTAATTATTACATATCCTTATAATAATTGAACCCAAGTAGTTTATTCTTTATTCTATCACTTGTAATAGCAACAATATTAAAATAAAAAGTTTCTAAATTAGTCATAACCAAATTACAACTTTCTCACCCCATTACCATTACTTTTAACACCTTCCCTGACACAAAGTTACGCTCCTCTCAAAGTTTATGGAGTATTTATAACATTGAAAGTTATAATGTGTTTATGTTTATTAATAAGGAGTTGAAATATATTTGTTGTTCCTCGAAATTAAAAACAATGTATTAATTAGTCGTCAAAATTAACTTTCATTTTGATGTTTGAATTCTTGAGGGCGATGGTACAGGTAAGGGCGCGGGTACAGGTAAGGGCGCGGGTACAGGTAAGGGCGCAGGTACAGGTAAGGGCGCAGGTACAGGTAAGGGCGCAGGTACAGGTAAGGGCGCAAGTTCAGGTAAGGGCGCGGGCACAGGTAAGGGCGCGGGTACACAGGTAAGGGCGCGGGTACAGGCGGGTACAGGTAAGGCGCGGGTACAGGTAAGGGCGCGCAGGTACAGGTAAGGGCGCGGGTACAGGTAAGGGCGCGGGTACAGGTAAGGGCGCGGGTACAGGTAAGGGCGCGGGTACAGGTAAGGGCGCAAGTTCAGGTAAGGCCGCAAGTATACTTAATATCTTACCACCTACTAGAATATAAATACAAATATAATCCAAAAAATAAATTCATTTCTATTCGATCATTTTTTTTAAATTTGTTTTCGTTTCCAAATAAATTCTCTCCAAAATTAACAAAAGCGTTGTGGATTACTTTTTTTAATATTGTGTTTATTTGTGGATTTTTTTTTGTATTAATCCGTTTATCAGGGATTTTTTTACTTGTATTTATCGGCTTATTTGTGTCTTTTATTTGCGTTTTGTTTTTTGTTTATAAGTTTATTTCACTTATACAGTAATCAACATTTTTTCAGCTGCGTATCTCTATGAAAGCTTTTCCTGACTGACTGATTGACTGACTGACTGATTAACTGACTTATTTACTGAATGACCGACTGATTTACTGACTGATTTACTGACTGACTGATTAACTGACTTATTTGCTGACTGACTGACTGATTTACTGACTGACTGACTGACTGATTAACCGACTGATTTACTGACTAACTAACTGACTGATTTACGGACTGACTTGTTTACTGACTAACTGATTAACTGACTGACTGACTGATTTACTGAATAACTGTTGTCTTTTTTACTGACTGATTCCAAGTGAACAGGGAATTAACTGAACACTCATGAAGGGTAATAAACAGTAGTTGACGACCACCAGGCGAAATAAACGACTAGGAGACGACTAGAACGACTACCTGAAGGTTTTCTACACGAGGTGAACTACTAATAGAATGTTTTTTACACGAGATGAACGACTACCAGGAGATGTGAACGACTAGTAGACGACTTGAACTACCACCAGGACGTTTTTTTTACACGAGATGAACGACTACCAGGCTAGGTCAACGACTACTAAACAATATGAAAGCCTATCGGGTAACAAAGTGAACGTCTAGTATTAAACGACGCAGCAAAACAAAGAAGAGTACCTCATCTGTTATACGTTCAGCCTACAGCACCGAACAGCACCACTCACAGCACCGCACAGCACCACTCACAACACCGCACAGCACCACTCACAACACCGCACAGCACCACTCACAGCACCACCCCACACCACCACCCCACAACACCACACAGTACCACACACCACCCCACACAACACCATTCAGCCCACCACACAGCACCAACACCACCCCACAGCACCAACACCACCCCACAGCACCACCCCACAACACCACACAGTACCACACACCACCCCACACAGCACCACCCCACACCACCACCCCACACAGCACCACACTTCTCTCTCTCTCTCTCTCTCTCTCTCTCTCTCTCTCTCTCTCTCTCTCTACAGGAATATGGGCTATATAAAACCTCGTTAAAAGAAGACAATTAACTGCTACATCAGTGACCGAGAGTAATATATTTCCACGTCCATTCCCTTTATGAGACATACCACACAAACAAACAAACACACAAACACACAAACAAACAAACAAACAAACACACAAACACACAAACAAACAAACATCGTAATATATGTCTTTAGCAATTTACTCTTTACCTATGTATTTTTTTACTTTTTACAAAAAATATTAATGTTGTATTTCTCCATTCGATTCTGTAGTAAAAAAATAATTAAAATTGATTACATACAATGTCTTCTGTGCCCTCCCTCCCTCCCTCCCCTTCCACTCAAAATCTCTCTCCATTTCCTATAAAAATTTCCCTCTCCTCCTTACTCCATAAGCCCTTTTCCCTAAGGTCCTCTCCTTCTCTAACCTTCCTCTATCATCTATTTCCCTTTCCTTCAATCCTTCCCCTCTAGATGTTACCCCTCTTCCTTCAAAAGCCTCCTTACCACTCTACCAGTCTCCCCTCACCTTGAAAGCCTACCTTTCCCACTCCCTCCCTCCCTTTCCTCCCATTCATTCTCTCCTTTCTTTTCACTTCATTAGACTCCAATCTTACCAATACCTCATTTCCCCTCGTTTTCTCCTCCCTTTCCCCTCCGATCACACCACCTTTCGTCCCTCTTCCTCACGCACTTCCAGCTCCCCTCGCGTCCCTCACACCACCTCACGCACCTCTAGCTCCCCTCGCCTCCCCCACACCACCTCACGCACCTCAAGCTCCCCTCTCCTCCCCTCGCGTCCCTCACACCATCTCACGCTCCCTCTCTCCTCGCGTCCCTCACACCACTCCCTCGACGCAGCTCCCTCCTCGCGCGTCCCTCACACCACCTCACGCACACCACCTCACACCTCTGGCTTCCCTCTCTCCCCTCCCTTACACAACTTCACGCACCTCTAGCTCCCTCTCCCTCCCCCCGCGTCCCTCACGCCACCTCACGCACCTCTAGCTCCCCTCTCTTCCCTCGCGTCCCTCACACCACGCACCTCTAGCTCCCCTGCCTCCCCTCCCTACACCACTTCACACCTGGCTCCCCAGCCCCTCACACACCACCTCAGCTCCCCCTCCCCTCCCACACCACTCACACCAGCTCCCTCCTCCCTCACACGTCCCTCCCACACACCTCAGCTCCCTCTCCTCCCCTCGCGTCCCTCACACCACCTCTGTCACACCTCTAGCTCCTCACACCACCTCACGCACCTCTAGCCCCTCTCCTCCCCCCGCGTCCCTCACGCACCTCCTAGCTCCCTCTCCTCCCTCGCGTCCCTCCACACCACCTCACCTCTAGCTCCCCTCTTCCCCTCCCTTACACAACCTCACGCACCTCTAGCTCCCCTCTCCCTCCTCCCCTCACACCACCTCCCTCCCTCTGCCACCTCACGCACCTCTAGCTCCCCTCACCACAGCACCTCTAGCTCCTCCTCGCCTTCCCTTCCCTCACACCACCTCACGCACCTCTAGCTCCCCTCTCCTCACGTTGTCAGCCTCACCCACGCCACGTCTCTCATGTTAATTGTCTTCTCGTACTTTCACTTTAAGAGATAGTTGATGTGAAGGAGAGTCTCGTGTTGCCTGCTGCTCCTTGGTGGTGGTGCTGCCTGATGGTGCTTCCTGTTGCTGGGTGGTGGTGGTGCTGCCTGTTGGTGCTTCCTGTTGCGGTGGTAGCGCCTGCTGGTGCCTTGCTGCTGGGCGGTGGTGGTGCTGCCTGCTGGTGCTTCCTGTTGCTAGATGGTGGTAATTGTGCTGTC